GAGGCGGCTGGCTTGGGTGACAGCTGCTGCTGCTCTGGAGAGAGTAACGATCCGTGGGTTTATATCCATGTGTATAAAATCAGGCTAATTTAAAGATGAATTATGTGTGTGTTTTGGACCATTTTCTTTTAATGTTAAAGGTTTGATGGCTCCTGTCAGGTTATGTGGTCCCTAAATTTGCGCGAGGTTCAAAATGAGTGCACTTTTCAAGAATTACTAAATTCTACATACAGATGAGATTTATTAAAACTGAATCAATGAAATCCCTCAGAGCTCAACAGGGAGCTTGTCTAGGACATACATTGTGCAAGAACTTGGACCGGTTACCCTCTTCCCCCTTTCACTCTGGAACCTCCTGTGGTCAGCAGCCAGAGAATGTACTGTGTGCTGGTTTGTTCAGAGGGCACTGGTTAGCATGTTCCTCTGACCTTGCAAGCCTTACCCATAGTGCTTTGAAACCAGGGTTTGACAGTGGTCAGCTAGAATGCTGTTTTAGATTGGCCATCAGCTGGATATTACGCAGGCGACATTACAAACCATTTTTAATATGTTTCCTTTTGGGGGAAGCAAATCATAGTAAACATTAGTCTTAATGCTATAAACTTGCACTAATACAATAGCCAGTAGCTCCATGTGCCATGTGCCTACTGAATACTTGAAATGTGGCTACTACGACTTGAGATGTGCTGTAAATGTAAGGCACCAGATTTTGAAGACAATGCAAATAAAAGAATGTAAAGAATTGCATTCGTATTTTTATATTGATTACATGTTGAAATGATAATATTTGGATAAATTGGGTTAGAGACAATATTATTAAAATTAATTGCACTTGTTCTTTACTTTTTAAAATGTGGCTACTAGGAAGTTTAAAATTATAAATGATTGCATTACTTTTATGTTGGACAGTAGTTCTATACCATTAAAATCAGAATCATTCAAACTTTAATAATAATGTAGCATTTATAGGCCACTTAGAACATCCCAGGCTCTTTATATGTATGATCTAATTTTGAATCTTAAGTTTTGAATAGAAAAACCAAAACAAACATTGATGAGCCTCATTTTCTACTTTGTTTCTCACACTAGTTATTGTTGTGGGTCTTTTCAGTTTTTTAAAATTAACTGATTTACTTTTTAGAGGGAGGCGAAGAGAAGGAGAGAGAGGGAGAGAAACATCAATGTGTGGTTGCCTCTCACATGTCCCCCCACTGGGGACCTGGCTTGCGACCTAGGCATGTGCCCTGACTGGGAATCGAACCAGCGACCCTTTGGTTCACAGCCTGCGTTAAGTCCACTGAGTTACACCAGCCAGGGCTTCAGGTTTTTTTTTTTTTTCTTTTTTTTTTTAATGTAGTGTATTAACTTGTTAATTCTCACTCAACACTATGGAATAGATAGTCTGATCACACCCATTTAACACAAAAGGAAGTGGAAACTTGGAGGTTTAACTAACTAAGCCTGTGGTCCCTCAGTCAATATATGGCAAGGCTAGGACTTGACTCTAGGGCTCTCTGAAAGCAGAACTTCTGTGAGCCAACTAAATACCTTGGCAGTTAGGCAAGAATGATGCCGCTAAATTTTTCTGTGCCCTTGGGAACGTCTCCTTACCTTTCTGTATTTCCCTTTCCCCATGAAGGGGTTGAACTGGAGATACTATGGGAGGTGCCTTTTAGCTCTTTGCATGAAGGGAGCCCATTTCACTGTGCCTATTTTGGTTTTCTTTTCCCTCTTGATTTTTCTACTGTGCCCATCTGGTAAAGGACCAGAGGACCAAGAGAGTAGATTGACTTATGGGAAAGCAGGATGGAGGGGTAATTTAGCATAGGAATAAGAAGGAGCAGGAGAAGGAGGGAGGAGGAAGTTCAGTTGGTGAGACATCGTGTGCGGTCAGTACCGTTGTGGCAGGGTGAACACCACATGGTGATGTTCAGATGGAGCAGAGCCCAGAGCCATGCTGTAAACCTGCCTGCAACCTCAGCAAAGATCTGCCTTTTATCCTCAAATGTGAAAGCTATGGGGAGAGCTTAGGAATGCAATGAAAATGTACAAAGGTTTGGAAAAAGGCATTTCAAGGAAGAACCAGAGAGAGGTAACGTGAAGTCTGTGTACCTTAGAGATTGGTGAATGAGTGCCGGAGGCAGATTGGGGTCAAGGCTGGACTTTACCCCTTTTCAGCTGTGCGATATTAAGCAAGTTCTACGCCTCCCTTGCATCTGTAAAATGGGATAACTGCTTACCTCTTGAGTGGTGGGTGGGATTAAGGAATACATAACAGTAACACTGCTGCATTCTGAGTGTTCGCTGTGTGCCGAGCACCTTGCTTGTACACAAATGTATTGACGGCCGTTAGGGCCCAGCCTAGGCCTGCAAACTACTTATGGGGATGCCTTTAAGTGGAGCTCTTGTCATGGTCTCAGTGGCATCTAGAAAAGATCATTTGGTTGCATTCTCATTCTACTGTGTTACTTTTGATGAAGTTACTTCTCAAAGCCTCTCAGGTGACTCACTGATAAAATAAGATGATTAAAGCAGATGATCTGTAAGGCTTTTTTTAAGCTCAAAATATGCAGTTCTGGAAATAAGATTTATTGAGTGTTCTGAAGGCTAAGGGGATACTAAAATATGAATTTCAAATGTATATTTGAATGATTATTATAAGTTTGAGGGATGGTGACCAGCTGTTGTCTTTTGACTGAGGGTTGGATGAAGTGGCACATTTAATTGTTTTATACTTGACATTTGGAAGCCTTTTCTGACTTGGGAGGAAGAATAATATGTCATCAGAGTAGGCCCTGAAGTTGCACCCTCTGAACTCAGTAAAGCAGACAGTTGACTTTCTGATACTCAGCTTCTGTGCAACTTCATGCAGGCCTTCCCTGCTCCTGTGATCTGAAGGAGACCCCCCACCTGATTTTCCCTTCATGGCTCTTACTATAACTTGTAGTTGTATATTTACTTTGTATGTAGTGTGTAATGCCTGTGTTGTTTTCTCCATAGTTCTTACTACCATTTGTAATTGCACATTTATTTTGTGCTTAGTGTTTAATGGCTATCTCTTTAGACTGTAAATAACCTAAGGGCCAGCACTATCTTTATTTAGCTCTCCTCCTGTGGACCTCATTCCATTACAGTGGTTGTCAGGAAGTAGATGCTCAGTGAATATTTGTTGAATGAATAAGTGGATGGATGAGTTTTAGAGGTGGTTGATTTGGTGGTATTGCTGCTTGGTGGAGTTGGGTCCTCTGCTTACCATTTTTGGGAAGAGAAATCCCAAAGATCCTGTCTCTCAATGGACTTTAGATAGTGTTTTCCCTTTCTGCCTTCTTCTGGGGCTGGTCGCCATGATGTGTGTTTCTTCAGTTGTGATGGGATGCTGAGCATCTATTCCCTGTGAACTGGTCAGCCTGCATCTGCTTCTGGTGGAGGAGATGGAAGAGGTAGGTAGAGTTCCATTTGAGTTGGAATAAAGCCTGGTGGAGCAGTGCTTGATTGGGTTGGTTATTTCCATTTGTTCCCCCAGATCCACTCTGTCCTTTTTCACGCTGTCCTGGGGTCCAGGAAGTTGACCTTGGTGGGTTGTGTCAGCAAGGATCCCTTGCTCTCTGGTGTCTGGTTGAGGTTGGCCAGTGGGAGGGCAGGGCAGAGCAGAAAGATGAGGATGGGAGGAAAGGGAGGCTGGGCCATATGTCTCCATGCTCCATTCTCTGACCCAGGAGCTCAGGAGAGGGGCTGGCAGGGCAACTCTGCTGCAAGCCACAGCTCCTAGCTGGGAGCTCTGCAGTGGCGCCCCCTTCAGGTTCTTGTAGACACTGCTCTGTCCCTCCAGGAGTAGCAGTGGTAAGGGCTCCCCTCTGTTAACTCCCCTGGGGTGCTTCACCATTCCCTGTTGTTCCCTTACTTCTGCCCACACCCCTGTGAATAGTTCCTACACTGATCCCCCATACAGATGGGCTACTCATTATAGGTTTCCAGGCCATCATTCCCCCATATTCTTGTACCTATTTTACCTGATACAGGGTAGGGACCACACATCTAATTGTCATGGGAGCAGGAGGAGGTACAGGGTCAGAGGAGAGGTTGGAGGAATGTTTTATAATATGATCACTTGTGCCCGAGGTTTCTGTTTTCAGTGAAACAGAAAAACTCCTCCTTTGGGTTAGCAGTTTGGGGACACATTGAAAAAGGGGATCAACTTCTCTCTGGTTCCTCTCCTGGGCAGGCCAGCTCTGGTTGCCACTGCTCGCTGGCCCCATAACCTCACGCCCTAGGTTGCTGACCGAACTCCTGACATCTGCAGAAAAAAGGCTCTGCTGTGCAGAGGGTGGCCTGGGAGGCATCTGTGCTTGGTTTTTTCTCTTCCCCTCGCTTTCGAGGCCTTTGCTTCCCTGGTGAGTTGTTAAGAACAGCCTCTCTGAGTTGACATAGCTTTTCATGGAACAGACTGGAGCTGGGCAGCTTGCGTGGCTGAGGGGAGGTCATGGAGTTGCCAAATGAGCTGGGCTAGAGGGAGAGATTACTAAGGCGTGGCCAGTGTTGACATACTGCTTTTGAGTTTTCAAAGAATTTAAATGTAAAGGAGCACGTTTTTGCCCCACAAAACAGCCACGTCGGGGTGCTTGGCATTGTTATCCTCACTTTGTAGATGCAAATAAGGGCTCTGGGGTCCTTGTGCCTTGCCCAAAGTCACAGGTGAAGCTGTGAAGCTGGACCGAGACCCTGGCCGCCTGATCCCATGTCCATCTGGCTCCCCTGCTGCTCTACCTCTGCCCTCTGTGAGGGAGCAGGCAGGGCTGGGATCTGTCTCTGAGATGGTGAGCTGGAGTTGGGACAGTTGGACCCAACTCCAGTGTCCTGTTCCACTTGAAGGAGAGAGCACAGGTGGCCTTGAGTCCTGCCCCAGAGCTCTGGTTCCTGCATGCCCTCAAGGGCCATCTCTCCTGTCCCTGCTGTCACTGTTTCTAGTGGCCTGACCCTGCTTCTCTGTCCCTGTATTTCAGAAGTGGAGCTGCCCCTGAAGAAGGATGCATTCACCTCGGAGAGCACCACGCTGGAGGCCTTGCTCCGAGGTGAAGGGGTTGAGAAGAAGGTGGACGCCAGAGAGGAGGAGAGCATCCAGGAAATACAGGTATTTCTGTGCCCACTGAGAGTGGAGGGCGCCACTGGAGCATCACCGTGGTGCTTCCGGAGCTCCAGCACCAGCTCGGGTGCCCTTCTCAAGGGCCAGAGCTGCATCTCAGCCTGCCTCATGGCGCTGCTGCAGGGAAGCCAGAAGACTTTTCTGGTTTTAACTCTCCCAGAAGATGTCGTCGTTCCTCTAAAATCCACTTCTCTTCCCTGATCTCCCTATTTCTGTACTCAGTGTATCTTGGGGGCCAGCTGGGTGCCAGGCATGGTGCTAGGTCCTGGGGGCACGGTGGGGAGCAAAACAGATGGAGTCCTCACCCCCGTGGAGCGTGCAGCCGTAGACCCAGGCTCAAAGCCTCAGTGGTGTCTGCGTGCCTCAGGCACCCTGTCCCCCTGCCTCCCACCCCGTCCTCGCTGTAGTTCACTCAGTTCTTTCCTTGCACTCCTCTCTCCTCCTTTAAGGCCAGTTCAGAAGTCACCCTCCAAGCAGGCTTCATGGCTCCTGCCCCTCTGTGTTCACCACCTGCTGGTGAGGCTGTCATAAGGCAGGATTATAGTGGTGTGCTCTCACCATTCCTCGTCTCTTCGTCTTGGATCCCTGTTGTTGATCGTGATGTTGGGCACAGTGTTGTAATAATGTTAAGTAATACAAATATTAAATAATAGTGTTCATAACGAGAGATGATTAAAATTACATTGCATTTATATTAAGTTTATATTTTTATATTCTATGTGTAAACAATATATGGCATGGTTATGAATTTCAACCTAATTTAATATTTATATGTTTATTAACATTATAATTAAATTAATAACTTGAATGTTTGGTTTGCCTCCTAAGTATTCCCAGTCTTTTGAGTTCGATCGAGTGGGGAACATGCTGCCAAGTTCACCACTGTGCCCTCAGCCTTGCCTGTGTCCAGGAGAGTTAGGTCTCAAGAAGGTGTGGAATGAATCAGTGAATCTGCTCACCTTCTCTGCTGTTACTGTGTTCAGATGAATGGTCAGATCTTTTCCATTAGGTTGTCACAACACAGCTTCTAGTTGTTTCTTCCGTGACTTCACAGAGCTCCAGCCCTAGTACAGATCCGTGTTAACCATCACTTTTATTTGTCTGACACCTTGGAGTGATCTTCGGTGCCTTCTCTCGCACGGAACATCCAGCTCATCAGGAATCCTGTCGACTGTGCCCGCGACATAAATCCAGAGCGTAGCCCCTTCTCACCACATCCAGGGCTACTACCCTGCTCCAAGGCACTCTCACTTCCTGTCCACACTGTCGGGATTGCTCTCTAAATGGTCCCCCTGCTGATGGCTGGGAGGAACCCTTTTAAAATTTTCAGTCAGACCCTGGCATTCCTATGCTCACAGCCCTGCAAGGGCCCCTGTTCTCACTGAGTGAAAGTCAGGGACCTCTTGCCTCTGTCTCTGACTCTTTCCCTTTCTGCCTCTGCTCCAGGCACTCCGGCCTCTTTGTGCTGCTCCTGGAGCAGAGAAGGCACAGCCCTGCCTCTGGGCTTTGCTCTGGCTGTTTCTCTGCCAGCAGACTCCTGTACCCAGACATCCTGGTTTTTTCACTCCCTCACCTTCTTCAAGTGTCTGCTTCTATCTCCTCGTTTCTCTGAGCTGTGTGTGTCCTGAGTGCTGTATGTAATGCCACATGCTGCACCAGCCACCCCCCGCACTGCCCATTTCTTACGCTGCTTTGGTTTTTGCCCACAGCTCTTTCCACTGTGTACTTTGGTATGTAGCACTATGTACTGTGTTCTAATGTACTTTATTTTCTGTTTTCGTACAATAGACTGCAAACTCCTCAAGAGCAGGAGTCTTTATCTGTCTTGTTCACTAATCTATCTCAAGCACCCAAACAGTGCCTGGCACACAATTAACATTTCTTGAGAGGCTGTGTGAGGGGACAGATTCCTGAGGGGTCTCATCCCCTGTCCTTTCCCTCTCCAACTCTGCCTACTCTGAGCTGGCCTTTCATCCTGAAACAAAGTTCTACTTGTGTCATCCCCTTGCTAAAAAAACATAGCTAAGGACTTCTGGCCAAGATGGAGGCGTGTAGGTAGACACACTGTGCCTCCTCGCACAACCAAAATAAGGCCAGCAACAATTTAGAAACAAGATAACAACCAGAACTGACAGAAAATTGAACTGTATGGAAGTTGGACAACCAAGGAGTTAAAATATACACATTCATCCAGACTGGTAAGAAGGGCGGAGTCGGGCAGCTGGGTGGAGAGGGGTTGCAGCACAAAAAGCAGTGGCACCGGGTGCTTAAGGCATCCTGGGCTCATAAGGCATCCTGGACATAAGACCGCAGTGGGCGGACCTGGGGCGCGCAGGCAGCTGGCAGAACTCAGGCGCAGGGTGGCAACAGGCAGACCTAGGGAGGCGGTGATTGTGAAGTGAGACACTGTGCGCAAGTTGGCTGGCTGTCCGGGTGATCCCACATTTGTGCACAGATAAACCAGGTGAAACTGGGCAGTGAGACAGACTGCCCAACCCAGGGTCCCAGCGCTGGGAAATAGAGCCTCGGGACACTGATTGAAAACACCTGTGGGGATTGAGGTGCAGGGCGAGACTCTCAGCCTCACAGGAGAGTGCGTTGGAGAGACCCATGGGGTCCTAGAACGTGCACAAGCCCACCCACACGGGAACCAGCTCTAGAAGGGCCCAATTTGCTTGTGGGAAGTGGCGGAAGGGACTGATACCCAACAGAGCCATTGTTCTCTATCGGACCCCACCCCCACATACAGCGTCACAGTCCAGGGACTGGGTTGCCCCACCCTGGTGAACACCTAGGCTCTGCCTCTCGTATGAAACAGGTGTGACCACACCCCTCCCCACCCCCCGCAAAAAGATGGCTCAAAGAGGAGAAGAAATGAAAGCCCCAGATCTGATCCTTTTAAGCAACTAAGAGATAGCCAACCTATCAGATGCACAGTTCCAAACTTCGGTGATCAGGATGCTCACAGAATTGGTTGATTTTGGTCGCAAATTAGATGAAAAAAAAAAGAAGGCTACAATAAGTGAAATGAAGAAAAATGCACAGGGAACCAATAGTGATGGAAAGAAAGCTGGGTCTCCCATCAGTGGAGTAGACCAGAAGGAAGTAAAGAACATACAATCAGAAAAGAATGAAGAAATAACCTGACGGGCGTAGCTCAGTGGATTGAGCGTGGGCTGCGAACCAAAGTGTCGCAGGTTCGATTCCCAGCCAGGGCACATGCCTGGGTTGCAGGCCACGGCCCCCAGCAACCGCACATTGATGTCTGTCTCTCTCTTTCTCCCTCCCTTCCCTCTCTAAAAATATTTAAATAAATAAATAAATAAATAAATCTTAAAAAAAATATATAAAAAAAGCTGTAAGCAGTTAAAAAAAAAACCTTAAAAAAAAAGAATGAAGAAATAAGAATTCAAAAAAATGAGGAGAGGCTTAGGAACCTCTAGGACATCTTCAAACATTCCAACATCAAATTATAGGGGTACCAGAAGGAGAAGTGGAAGAGCAAAAAATTGAAAACTTATTTGAACAAATAATAAAGGAGAACTTCCCCAATCTGGCAAAGGAAATAGACTTCCAGGAAGTCCAGGAAGCTCAGAGAGTCCCAAAGAAATTGGACCCAAGGAGGAACATACCAAGGCACATCATAATTACATTAGCCAAGGAAAAAATGAAGGAGAGAAACCTAAAAGCAGCAAGAGATAAGGAGACAGTCACCTACTTACAAAGGAGTTCCCATCAGACTCAGTTGATTTCTCAAAAGAGAACTTGCAGGCAAGAAGGGGCTGGAAAGAAGTATTCCAAGTCATGAAAGGCAAGGACATACATCCAAGATTGCTCTATCCGGCAAAACTTTCATTTAGAATGGAAGGGCAGATAAAGTGCATCTCAGATAAGGTCAAGTTAAAGGAGTTCATCATCACCAAGCCCTTATTTTATGAAATGTTAAAGGGACTTATCTAAGAAAAAGAAGATAAAAAACATGTATAGTAAAATGACAGCAAGCTCACAATTAACAACCATACCTAAAACAAAAACAAACGAAGCAAACAACTAGAACAGGAACAGAACCACAGAAATGGAGATCACATGGAGGGTTAGCAACAGGGGAGTGGGGGGTGGGGGGGAGAGGGGTAAAAGGTACAGAGAATAAGTGGCATAGAAGGTAGGTAGAAAATAGTGGGAAATGTAGAAGCTAAAGAACTTATGACACATGGACATGAACTAAAGGAGGGGAATGTCGGGAGAGGGTGTGCAGGGCGGAGGGGAATGAAGGGAGGGAATGGGACAACTGTAATAGCATAAGCAATAAAATATATTTTAAAAAACCCATATAGGTAAGACATTTCTTGTTTCCTACTAAGTAAATCCAAAATGATGAGTATGTTGTTCCTGGGCTTCTACTCTGCTCCTAACCTAGTTTTCAGGCTTATTTGCCACTATTCCTTTACGCCCACTGTTCTCAGCCGTCCTCCTTCGGTGCCTTTGGTCATGCTGTGCCCTTTATCTGATGTTCCTTTCTTCCACCTCCCTGTGTGCCAGGTCCACTCATCTTTTAGGCTCGGCTCCAATGCCTCCTTCCCCATGAAGCCCGTCTTGATCCCCTCATAGCCAGAGTCTTCTTGCCTCTGGCTTTTAGGGTATCTAGGACTTTTTTTTGGAGGGGGTATTTATATATTACCCTCCATTTGTGAATTTTTAGATCTTTGAAGTCAACATCTGTTGCATCTGGATTTCCTAGTAGTCTTTTTTTCTCGTTCAGTGTAATGTGAGTGAATCAGTGGAGAGGAACAGAACCGTTGCCCAGAAGCCTTGATGCTTTAAAGCCCTTTCCCTTTAAAGCTGGCAGCGGTGGGTTTGAGCTCTTCTCACACAGTGTTGGGCCAGTATTTGGGTTGTCGTTGTGGAATCATGGTCCCCCTCATCCGTGATGTAAACTGAATGTCCGCTATGTACAGAGCATGGGGCTACCTTTTCCTGTGCCAGGACTATAGGCCAATGAGTTTACATTTGTAGTAAATGGAAAGTTTTGTTGATTTCTTTTTTTAATTCATTCATTCAACCGAAATTTATTGAGTGCCTCTTCTGAGCAGGCACTGTGCTAGGTTCTAGGGAAAGAGAGAAACCAGGAGAGACCTGTCACCTCCACTCATACTTAGTCTGGTGTGACTTACAGACGGAAAGCAAGGAAACCAACAGAACAGTTGCATTTCAGGATCAATGCCATGAAAAGAACAGAGTATGAAGATTCCGTGTAAGAGAAGGAACAGATTCTAGGGAGTGTCTTAAGGGACAAAGGAATTTAACCTCAGTCCTATGGCATGAGAAGGAGCTAGCAAAGTGAAGATTTTAGAGAAGAGCTTTCTGGGCCGAGGAACAGTTAGCTTGAAAGCATCAAGGTAGGTCTGAGCTCATTGTGGTGTTAAAGAACTGACAGAGGGCCTCTGTGGTGGGGGCAGTGCCAGGGGAGAAGGGCCTCGCATGCGGTGGGAGGTGTGGGTGGGGCCAGACCACTCCAGCCTCCCCAGATGTGGAAGAGGCTTTTGATTTCTAGAAGCCATATGGAGGATGTTACTCCGGGCAGCGAATCTGTGTTTCATTGAGATATAGACCCCTGGTCCTCTCATGGAGAGGAGGCAGGATCCAGGGCCAGTAGTGGAAGAAAGGAAATCAGGAATTTTCTACAATGTTCCAGGCCAGAGATAATGGAATCTTTAAAAAAGAATTCTTTAAAAAAAAACACCCCCACAAACCATTGTTATCACCACCATAAAGACTGTTCAGAGTTAGAGGGAGAAAGTTATTTTAAAATGTGTTTATTTCCCAGATAATGTCCTTGGACGGGAAATGGTAGTGGGTTACTAGAGGATCAGCTGTCTCTCTAGTGGGAGCCTCTGCCCTTCACGCCTAATACAGGATACCCCTCTTCTTCCTGTGCCCTGAATGCAACCTTTATTTGTTAGCAGCTTTCTCCCCCAGCCCCCACCGGCTATGTAGAGAGGCTTCTGGTGTCAGGCCCTTCTGCAGGAAATGCAAACACACACTGGCTTTCGCATCTGAGGCCTGGACACTGAGGCCATGCAGCCCTTCTCTGCACTAGCTCGGCTGCCTTCAGCCATCTTTCACTTTGCAATCTAGAGTTCATCTTGCAGATAATAAATATCTTCATAATGAAAAATGAGGGGAGTCAGAATTGGGCTGAGGTGCTAGAGGCAATGACTTTTAAATTCAAAGCACTTAGAACTTACCATGATTAAATAACTTCAAGACCCAGAAAGTTTGCAAGATGGCTGTATGTATAGTAACAACAGTCATAATAACTACATCTGTCCACCAAAGGCTGCAGAGCATTTGACCAGTCCTTATATTGCTTGGCTTTTGTTCATGTTCCCACTTACCAGTCAAGAAGCCAAGATGCAGGGAGGCTAGGAGGCTTGCCCTGGACCTGCATAGCGTTTCCTAGCTGTAGGCCGGAGGTGGTGTCCAGCAGGCAGTGCTTCTCTGTTAGACGGCTACGGTTGGCCAGAGACTCGAAAGTGCTGTGAGCTGATGGCTTCCCAAGTAAACCTAGTGGAGAAGCCACAGAAGAATTTACTAGACCTGCTTTGAGTTTGTTGGGAGGATTTGGTGATTAGCAGTATCCTGACCCCTGTGATTGGAACAGAGTTCTCTGATGAGAAGGCAGGGGGAGAAGGTCAGTGGTAACTTCACTCCTGGGCTTTCTGCTTTCAGGACAGGCCAGAGGCATTGTCCGGGAGGCCACGTGAACAATGACAGTGATACCGGGTATCAGCGTGGTCCGTGCTGCTTTTTAAGCCTTCTCATAGCTGTGTGGTTGTCACACCATCACCACAGAGTGGGTGCCACTGTCCTGTGTAACACGGTGCCCACCTTCTCTCTGAGCTCATCTTAACGCCAGCCTCTTCCTGAGCTGCTGAGCTCTCATCACATTGGCCTTCTTTCTGCTCCTGGACAAGTTGTGTTCCTCGCCCCGCCTCAGGGCGTTGTCCGCGCTGTCCCCTCTGTCTGGAGTACTTCCCTTCCTCCCGGACCCTGTCTCTGTGCCAGGCTAGTCTGTTCTCTCCTTTACAGCTCAGCTTTCTTAGGTCACCTTTTTCAGGTAAGCCTTACCTGACTCTCAGGTTAGTTCAATTTCATAACCCTCTTAAGAAGTTTGAACTTGCTTGTCCCTGTTTTTGTAGCAGTTGTACTTACATGGTTATTGGTGTTGTTTAAATCTGTCCTTTTCCAAAGCTATCTAGAGCCTGGACTATAGCCATTTTGTGGCTTGTCTAGCACGGCACCTGCGATGAAGTCAGCACTGGACAAATGTTTGTTGGTTGAATGAGCGAATGAATTTCTGTTTTATAATTAGGCAAAGAGGCCCATAAAGAAACCCTCAGGGCTCCTGACATGGAGTCTAGTAAATTCCGTGCTCTTTTCTCCTGTTCCCCCACTGTGGGGGCTGGGTCATCTGCCACAATCTCCTCTCTTTCCCTTAAACCTAGAGATACGTACTTCCTGCAAAGGGAGTGAAGTACTCAGGTCCATACAGGAAAGGTACGCTATAATACACCTTGGCATCTTTATTTAGACTAGGGCTGAAACACAGATGGGAAACTCTGAGCTGATGAACCTGACCTTGCTTTGGTCACGGATTTGCTGGACGATCTTGAGAAGTCAATTGAGTTTTCAGCCTCAGTTTGTTCACCTGCAAAGTGAAAATGGGACTCTCTTCTACCGCAGGACATGTAGACCTGTCGGAGAGGGAGGATTAAACTCAGGATCTTTGAGGTCCATTGCAAGTAATGTTCTGTGATGAAAATAAATCCTTTTTTTTCCCCTTAAATAACAATGGGTGATTAAGAAAAACACATTAATGTCAAATTCTGGTCAGATGAACAGGAAGTTACTTGTTTTAATCAAACAGGGCAGGGTTTCAGCATGGTAGGGGAAGGAGAAACCTATTCTCATATTTAGGAGGAAAAGAAAAATTACACTAAAGAAAGTTTTGACAAATCATCTTGGGTCCACACAGAAGATTGCTCCTACCAGAGTATTTTCTCTTTAGAAAACCCTTCTTGGTCCAGAAGAGGGGTGAGAGGTCAGTGTTCCGGGAGGACCTGGCTGGAAGGGGCCCCAGAGGTTGAGAGAGAGTTGCTATCACCAAGCTCTGAAACCCCGGGCAGCATTTTGGGAGCCCTGCTCCCCCAGGAATGGCAGCATCTCCACTCCGTTGAAACAAATCAAAATGGGATATCCCCCAAATTACCCTCTGATGGTTATCTGTTTTGCATTTTATTCTTACTCCCTCTCTTCATTTTCTTGTCATTTCAGAGAGTTTTGGAGAATGATGAAAATGTAGAAGAAGGAAATGAAGAAGAGGATTTAGAAGAGGATATTCCTAAGCGAAAGAACAGGACCAGAGGACGGGTAAGCTGGGATGCCATGAGGATGTGAGAGTGATCGGGGAAGCCAGGGTCATGCAAGACACTGGTCCCCAGATCGAAGTCCCACTGCACATATCCATGGGCCCCCTTGCAGAACACTCAGAGGAAAACCCCAGATGGGCTCTGATCTTAGGTGGTAATACGTAAGAGTTTAGAGCTGGCAAGAGGGAGAACAGGCAGAGGGTGCCGAGGGTTTGGGAAAACTTGGAGGTGGGACGAGGGTGAAGGTGGAGAACAAGGAAGGTGGGACATTTAGTCGTTCCTGCTGCTTGCTCATGAAAGAAGGCAGAAAGATTCTTGTCCTTGGAGTGCCCCAGAGGGACAGGGTCAGGATACTTACTTTCAGGGGTATATTTTATTAGGCAGAGAGCAGGACCACAGCTGATGGTTCCCCAAGCAGGTATGGACTGGTCTTTGGAAGCTGGTGGTCATGGAATGTGGCAAGAAAACGCCAGAAGCTTGGGGAATGGCAGAGGGGAAATCTACGGTAGAAGGAATAAAAATATGAGAAGGGCTCTTGAGGGGAGGGAACCAAACCAGGGGTGATTGCAGGTATTCAGATTGGTCCTCCAGAGTCCTCATGTTGAAGCCCAAAGCGGCTTTTTGAGGTCAACTTGGGCGGGGGGTGGTCTGCAAGGGCATCTGACAAAAACCAGGTAGAGAGGGTCCACTAGGGCTAAACTGCCACTTTTCATCTAGGGAATTGACTCTCAGTCCTGTCTGGCTCCTTCAGGCTCTAGGCAGGACCCTCAGTTTTTTCACAGACAAGAGGCTGACCTTGGGTGACCCGCGGGTCGGATCTAGTGACAAGTAGGCCTACCTCCCTGTCCCTGTGGTTTTCATGCCTCAGTGCAATATATAGCAGGATCACCGGGAAAGCCTATCGGAATGCAGATTCCCAGGACCCGGTCTCAGAAGATCTGACTTAGGAGGTCTGGGGTGGGGTCTGGAAAGCTACATGGTAACCAGGTTTCTAGGCCACGGTGCAGGTGGTCCAGTGCTGCCCACACTGTTGCTGAATTGCCCCAGACCTGTTGGCGGGAGCTGGCCTCAGTCTGGACAGGGCGGCCCCCTGATGCTGCTCACCTGATGTAGTTGGCTCCCAGCTTTAACAGTGGTCACCGTCTTGACGATCTTGTTTTTTCTTCTTTTCTCCCCCTTTTTGTTGGTTTGCATGTTTTCTTGTTTTATATGCGAAATGTTTGAAAGCGTGTTCCTCAGTGTGTCTCTGACATCACTATCATAACCAGTAAAAAGAACAACTGTTCCAATATCTATTGATCTATTGGCCAGTCCCTGACCACGTCTCCCTCATTTTCTAAAAAAACATGTCTTTTATAGTTGTTTTGTTCGAAATTTAAGCCTCTTGAATTCTGAGACATACCTTGTCTTGGCTGTGCCCTGCCCCACCCCCAACAAACACACACACACTTTTTCTCCATGCCATTTGTTTGCTGACGGTGGGTGCTTGGTCTTGAGGAACTCCTCACACCCTAGATTTGGCAGACTCATGGAATTTAAAGTGTTCCTCTGTCCTCTTTACTTCCTGAAAACTGGTTTGATTAGAGACTGGATTGGATTCACATATTCGTGTGTGTGTAAATGTTTTTTTGGTGGGGAAGACTTTCCTGGGTGTGGTGTGTGCTGTGGTGTGTGCTGCTCACGGCCTCACGTCAGGAGGCGATGTCCAGTGGCCCCGCTCCTGGCGGCGGCAGAGGTGCTGGCGGTTCTGGGTGTGGCAGCCTTCCGCCTTCTCACACTCCTGCAAGTTCCCCGCTGAGCGTCCACCTGCTCGTCCGGCAGCCACTGATGAACTTGCCTGGACCCACGATGTCACTGGGGGTTACAAAATAATGAATATCTAATTCTGTCATTAAAGGAGGCTTTAGAGTGGCTTTAGGAGGCTTTTGGAATTTCTGGGCTTTTTGTGAACTTCAAGAGCTATTCACCTTCGAGGGATGTATCGCCTCCAGGCCTGCTTCCTGCCCTTCCCTCTCCTCGGCCCAGAACAAAGTTACTCGAGGAGATTGTGGAAGGAGAACGGTCTTCACAGCTTCTCCATTCCCAACCTAAACATAGATGAGGGGACCCGCAGTCATCGACCGAGAATGAGGGAGTCTCGTGAGAACATCAGCGCTGGGGCAGCAGCCACGTTTATTTCCTGGGTCCTTACTCTGCCCCCGGCCGTGTGGTGGGGCTCTCTGCAGTCAGAGCTGCCACACAGCGGGCCGTAGCTGGGAACATTTATACTTCTCTCTCTGCCCTGGCCACGTGTGGCTCCTGAGCACTTAAAATGTTGTTGCTAGCTCAAATTGAAATGCGCTGTAAACGTAGAATACATACCAGATTTCCAGGACGTCGTGGGAAAAGAATACAGAACATCTCCTTCATAGTCAATACTTCTACATTAATTACATATTGAAATAATATTTTGTTTTTATTGCATTAAATGAAATATTAAAATTAACTGCACCTGGGTTTTTTTTTATTCTTTTCTAAAAAGCTGTGTCTCCTGAGAAATGTAAGATGACACGTGTGGCTTGTGTTGCGTTTGTATCGGCCAGCACCGCTGCTTTCATCCCCGGAGTCCGTATTACTGTTTCCAGAGAGATTAAGGGGCTTGCCCAACGGCATCCCAGCTAGTGAGGAAGAGGGCAGGATTTGAACATGGATCTGTGCTTTTCCCAGCGGGTCATGTGTGGCCCCATCTCCAGCACGTGGGCAGTGACCACTGTTTGAATGACGGAAGCCATGTTTCAGCTCTGCGGGTGGCGAGAGAAAACCTGAACACGGGGAGGGGGCTGGGTGGGGCCTAGACCAGCTCTGGGCCCACCTTGTGTTGCCTAAGGGGCGGTTGAATGCTCCACATTGGGCAGTGATGTTGTGGACATGTCACACATGGTGGGAGCCTCAGGAGCACCGGAGGAGTGTAGGTGAGCCTGCCTGGGCTGGAATAGGGCATGAAGCTGCTCAGTTAAGCCGCCTTTCACTGGGTGTTTTCAAGCTGCTGCTGGCTCCTGGGGAGCAGCCACACCCATTTCTGTGTCAGGACTGGAAGGCCATTTAAGGCCCTGCTTCTCAGTGTGCGTCCTCCGGACTCAGCATCAGTGTCACGGCTCTGGGCTGTCTCATGTGCCCACTGAGGCCAGGCCTGAGGGGAGCTTACAAGAACAGCCTTTGGGTGAATTTTGTAACTTCTGTGACCTTTGCCAAATTATATACGAACTCTGGACCTTGGTTTCTGCATCATTGAAATGGGAGCAGTGAATATAACAGCCAGTGTTGAGTGCTTACTAAAGGCTAGATGTGATTAGGAGGGAGCAAGTGAAGGGAACAACAACTCTCTGAGTTCTGATGAAGGCGATTTCCGAAGGGAGAAAAAAATTCAGACCCAACAGTTAATGATTGTGTTTATGGTCATTTTAGTCCAAGAAATCCACGCTCTTTACAATTTGCAGATTCCCGTGAGTCATCCACGAGAGTATTATGGATCCGTCAGTCAGTGTTTGCTGATGCACGTGGTGTAGTGCAGTGCTTCTCAGACTTGAACGTGTGTGTGAAGCACCTGGTGTTCTTAGTCACCTGCAGATTCTGATGCAGTGGGTGTGGGGGTGGGGTCTGAGGCCTGGCCTGGTGGACAAGCCCCACGTTGCTGTTTAAAGCGAGGACCTAAAGTGAGGACCACACTTTAAATAGTGAGAGCAGTGGTTCTCAAAGTTGTTTTGTCTCAGGAATTCTTTACTTAAAAATAACCAAGAGCTCTCCAAAAGCTGTTGTGTGGTAGGTTATAACTAGTGGTACTTTTAAAACAAAAGTGTTAGACTTAAGAACACAGAAGCACACAGAGCAATGACATCATCACGCCACATGGCCTCTGTAAAACCCCCCTGTGGGTCTGTGAGAGGACGAGAGTGAGCAGTTTCAGTGGCGGTTGGTACTACTACGAAACCAGTGTTGACATTCCAGACCCCCTGAAGGGTCTCAGGGACCCCCAGTGGTCCCTGGACCACTGTTTGAGAACAGCTGGTGCAGAGGAGCCAGCTCTCTGTGCCTGTCCCAGTTGAGGGTCTTTTAATTATGGGAACCGCAACAGCTTAAGCAGAAGTGGGAACTATTTGAAAAGCTGCTGGGCCATTGCTCTAGCTTTGAGCAATCTTCGAAGATTCAAGCCTTGACAAGGGCAAGAGAGAGGCGGGAATTCAGGACTGGGAAAGAGTGAAGCACCCAGGAAGCTTCTGGCCCCTACTTCTCCTTCATTCTTCTCTTGCGAGACTACTTTTTCTGCTTGTCTATGCACATGGGCCCTAGTTCTAGTGGCCTGTGCTAACTAGGGTCACTGTTTCCCAATTCCAGATTCTTTGGAGCTAGAATCTGATTTGTGTAGCTTAGGTCAGGTGTCCTGAGGCAGCCAGTCAGCTGCGGTCATGGGAGCAGGTCATATTGTACAGTTATGACTGTCATTGCCTGCTACTGTATGAATGGGACATGGGTGGAGTGGGGGTGGTTCTCAGAGAGGGAGTTCTCAGAGAGGGAGAACTGATTTTTGGGTGGTTCAGAGTTTTCTACAATGGAGTCCGAAGACCTCGGTCCTGCTTCTGCTGGCTCTATGACTGTGGACAAGTTATGGACCCTCCCTGGACCTGTTTGAGCAAGTGCCAAATAGGAATGATATAATTTGCTTGAACTCATGTATTGTCGGAATTAATTGAACTAGTGTATGTGAGAGAGCTGTGGATGCTGTGCCCAGCATAGTGCTAAGTGTTGGGGATGCGTAATGAAGTATGAAATGTGTCTCTGCTCTCAAGGATGCTGGAATTAAATTGAGGACAAAATGCTAATAGCCATGATACAATTAGAAAGCAGCAGGCTTCTCACTGTGCACTGACCAAGTGCAGGAAGAGTTCAAAGGAAAGAGAGATCAGCTTGGGCGAGGAGGGGACATCATTTGCTGAGCACTTCCTGTAGACACAGCACCGTCCCCTGTGGTTTCACACACCCTTTGTTCTGCCTCAGCACTTCTGCAGGAGAGGTGCTGCTGCTGCGTCCCTTTTACAGTGAAGAAAGATAAAGCTTAGGGAAATCACTTGACCAGAGACACGTGGCTGGTGTTTCAGCCTGTGTCTGACTTGAACGTGAATGCTGTTTTTACTCCTCGGTGTGGCAAGAAGATGATTCTTGGGGGTGTGGGATGTTAGCGGGGCTAAAGCATGGATCGGATGGGTGTGGGCAGAGTGGCTGGTCCCTGACAGGGATCATCAAAAAACAAAGCCCTGGACATAGCATGAGCTTGGGGTGAAACTGAGGGGATTGGCACTAGATTGCCAATGGATGTGGCAGTGGGCTTTAGATGGCAGCGAATGAAAGACTGGGGGTTCCTGTCCTTCACGCCTTTTGTCTAGTTGTATTGGGTAGGACAGTGCGGAGGTAGGGCCCCATCTTGCAGGTGAGGACACTGAGGTGCAGGGAGAATGTGAGAGCCTGTAGTCGCCCTGGTGGTCAGTCCTGCAGAATGAAATGAAACCCCGGTGCCTCCCCTCCCCGCTGGCTGGAGCTCCGTGCTTCTAGTTCCACAGAACTCGTCCTTGTCCCTGGCAGTGTTTTTGTCTCTCGGAGCACCTCCCGAGTCTGCTGTTGCCTCGGCATTCTGCCTGACTTGCTCTCACCTGCTCCGAGGCGACTGTGACAGGGCTGCCGGCTGCACATGCCAAGCTGTCCCCGGCTTCACCGAGGGAGTGTGGGGGCGGGGGGCAAGGGCAGCTGTGGGGAACAGGCTTGGTGTCATGGGCGCCCCAGGGTGACTACCTGTACACCTCACAGCTCCCTCTTTGGGTCAGCTCTGAGTAATGAGGGTGAGGGGAGAGGGTGCTGGCTGTCGTGTGTGTGTGTGTGTGTGTGTGTGTGTGTGTGTGTAGGGGTGAGGGGATGGGAGGGAAAGAGCAGTGGAAGGGAGGAAAGGAGGGGAGGTGGAATTTTGTAATTTGTTTTGGAGAGAGACAAGCTGAGGAAATGGTGGAGGTGGTGACTTGCCAGGTGGCGCTGATTGTGAAGAGTGTGTGTGTGTGTGTGAGAGAGAGAGAGAGAGAGAGAGAGAGAGAGAGAGAGAGAGAGAGAGAGAGAGAATGAATATGAGAATGAGAATATCTGAGGTGTTTTGACCCTGAAGTCCCTAGGGCTGCTTTTCCAGGCCAGGGCCCTAGCATGTCCCCATTTCCCTGCAGCCCAGGTTGCTGCCATGTTTTACTTGTCATCTGTTCTGTCTTTCCCTCTGTCCCCAAAGACCCCAGCAGACCCTTTTTTTGGTGGGGAGTTCACTGCCACTAATTACCAGAGAATGACCCCGAGGAGGCGAGGGTGCTACGCACGTGACCAGTGTGGGGCTTGCAGAGGTTTAAAAATAAACCTTGCTGCATTCTTGCAGCTACTGTCCTGGGGCTGCGGAGCTGCCAGTTCCCTCTCTAGCTGCTGTCCTCTGCCCTCGGAGGGAGAGCTCATCTCACCCCTGGTGATGCCACTCCAGGTCATGCCAGCCCTTTCTGGCGTCGTCCACAGGGTGGTGGTGTCAGTAGTCCAACTTCAGGAGACCGTGAGCAGTCAGGGTTTCTGTCACTGGCTGGAGGCTCGAGGTAGACCGCACAGGGTGAGCCTCAGCTGAAGCCCACCCCTGTGGAAGCGGCTGAGCAGGGAAGGGGAGCTCCTCACTCTCCCCAGGCTCATGCTCTGTGCCCCGATACCAAGTCTGGCTGGCTCTTGAGAGACCTGAGCAGAAGAGTGGAACAAAGGAGCTTGGCCCGGTAACTGTAATTATGACACTTGCTCCAATACGCCCATCAGGTCAGCTGCAGAGAGCAGGTTGCCATCTGTGTTCCGTATCAACGTTCAGTATCAACAGAGCCGGAAAGTTTAGGAGTTGGAGGAAGAGGTCCTACTAGCAACAGCAGAGCACAGGAATTTGGTTGGTAGAGGCTTTGCAGTGAGACTGTCCTGAGGTAATTCCTGGCTCCGCACTGAGTGGCCTTCACAAGCTATTTACCCTAATTGCCTCAGGCTTCTGATCTGTTAAACAGAGCTAATGGTGGCACCTCCCCCTGGGAGCTGAGTAGCTGAGCCATTTGGAGCAAGTTACCTAGCTTCTCTGGGCCTCAGTTTCCTGGCCTGTACCATGGGGTCAGTGTTGGGACAGATGTGGTGAAAGCTGAGTGAGGAGATGCAGGCGAGGCACTCAGGGCCTCCCAGAGCACCTGCTCAGGGACTGTGGTGATTATCAGAATAACACGCATCGTGATCCCCAATGTCTCCCCAGGCCCGTGGCTCTGCAGGTGGCAGGAGGAGGCATGACCCCGCCTCTCAGGAAGACCACGACAAACCCTATGTCTGTGACAGTAAGTACAGGCGATGCCGCCTTCCTTCTCCTGCCCCCGCCCTGCCCCACTATTCCCTGTGCTACCCTGGCTGTCAGCCCCCAGCCTCAGGCTGCTGGCCCCTCCTCTGGGGCCTGGACTCCCAGCTCACATGCCTGCGCCTCAGCACAATCACTGCCTCCTCTCGCTCCCTCTGCCCCCAGCTTTCGGCAGGAAGAGAGCAAGCTGCTAGGGGGTGGGGGTGGGGGTGGGGGCAGGAGCCTCCCTGCCTTGGGCGCTGTACTCCTCTCTGGTTGAACCCTACTTGGTACCTCCAGCTCTCTTTTCTTTCACTGTCTCCTTAAGATGCATCCCCTATTTCTTAGTCGATTTCAGAGATTTACAAACAAAAGCATAACTCAGAATCCTCCAAGAAATGTACTTAGTTCCTGTGGCTTTTTTTCTCATTTGTTTCCCTTTAATTTCCTTTTTCTGGTCTTTTTCCTGTCCTACTTATGGCAAGTTATGAATCTTCCTCTGATGGTCACTTAGTTAACAAGTGGCCCTCAGTCTATCTCCAGCCTTGCTTGATGGGTTCGGAAACATCTTTTGGACAAGCATCCGCCTGGTTGCTGGGTTCAGGGTCCGCAGACAGAGCTGGGGAGGACTGAGGGAGTGTGCACACTGGGGCAGGGGCAGTGGGTGGATCTCCAGAAACCTCCAGATTTGGAGGCTTTGCTGTCAGCCCGAGAGCTTTCGTCTCTCTCACCTACCAGAACGTTGGGTGGCGGGTTTAGAGTCCTCGCCCTAGTTATCTTCTGACTGTATCGGCCGCCATCTGCTCATTCCATGGCAAGGGCCGCCCTCCAAACCGCACTCTCAAACCGTCTCCCCTTCCCATCTTCTGTTTCTCTGAGGATGCAGCGCTCTGCTCTCGGCCCGAAGGGGCGGCAGTGAGAATGGCAGCGCAGTGGCTGAGGCAGGGCCCTGGTGCAGTGGTCTCGGTGGGCATCCGCCCACCTTGCCAGTGTCTGCAGCCTTTGTGAAAGCAGGGAGAGGACCGGGAAGATGGGGCTCAGGGAGTGTTTTGGGGGTGGTGCCATTCTCCTTCCTCTTCACTGGCCTCTTTGACCTCAAAAAGTTGTTCTGTGTCTGGTGGGATGTCACTCAGTTGGAGAACATTTTTCTAGAAGACCTCAAATTCCATGACTACCATTTGGCTACTTAATACACCATGCAGGTGACATTCCTGAGGTAACTGTGGGAAACACCTGCATCCCAGAGCAGGTTCATTTTAGGGCAAGGAGAGAGCAGAGCATGGGGTCTGGTCCCTCTTGTCGTACCAGGAGGTGCCCGCTTTGACCTGGGTCCTGCTTCCTGAACGGGGTTCATAAAAGCCCACGCAGGCGGGCCCTGGGGAGACTGGCTCTGGGCTGGGGAGTGTCCTTCAGACCCCACCCAACAGGCCTTCCTAGGCCTGGAGCAGCTCAGCCGTCAAGAATGCCAACAACTGCTTTGGAGCTGGGGCTTTGTCTCTAGGTTCCTCCTTTTAAAAGCTTTATTTTTATCATGTGATTTTTCTGCTACCCTAGATAGTGGAGTTACTGCACCTCTCGTTGGATTCTCAGCCAGTAATAATCCCCTGTGTTCCCAGGCATGCCGCATGCATCCTCCCTCTCCCACCTCAGTCCCTCTCCTTACTCCTCTGTCTGGTGTCTGCCTCCACAAAGCGCCCTTTGTGGGTGACCCTGTCTTGCCTGGCTCCCCCTTTCGGCACAGAGTGCTTGCGTCACACCCTCTCCCCCAGCTCCGGTGACTTTGTTTCAGGGGCTCTCAATGTCATTCGCTTTTCCTGTTCCCCTCCCCACGGGGTCTTTTCCTCCTTCTGTTTATGCCTTTGTACTTGGGAGTCTCTGCTGCTGGCTTTCTGGAAGTCTCTGCGGCCGATTTCTTGGCTCTGCCTGCACAGGCACTGCCTCCCATTTCCTCCCTCGGCAGAGCAAGGTCCACCCTCGATTGCCCTTCTCTTTCTGGCTCTCTTCGGGAACTGTGTGGCAGCTCAGTGATTAATAGACTTTATTTTTATCTGGTGCCCTTCAGACATGTGATCCTTTGGGACAGGAATGACCTTTGGAGAGGTCACACGGCCCACCCCACACCCCCGAACTCAGCAAGGAATGCTTTTAATAATCTCTAATGCATCCTAAGTAGAGAGGTGTCTGGTCACCTCCTTGAATATCCCCAGGGATGGTGTTACCATAAGCTGACCTTTCTTCCATGATTCTAATGGTGCTTTGAGTAATTGTTTTCCTTAATAAGAGCAGAAATTTTTGTCTTCCACAGGCCCCCTTATCTTTTGTGCATCTTTTCCCATCAGACAGGTACATGAGCATTTTGTCTATTCTGGAGGCATTCGTGACATCTCCTTGTATTCTTGGTTTACCTAGGGCCACATCCCATAATCTCCGTGACAGCCTGCTCTGCAGTCCCTTCCAGGTTTACATTTATGCTTAGCACTCCCTTTGGAAGTAGCTCCAAGGCTATTGGCTCAAAGGATCACAGACACACTGCCTTGTTTACTTCACACGACACTTCGTAACCCCACCCACACCTGTGGAGAAGAGAGGTATCTGACTGCCCCACTGCACGGTGCCCATGTCAGTGATGCCCCACACGGCCGGAAGGTGGCTAATGCCTCTCTGTGTGCGTGCATCTGAGTATTTCTTTGTCTGTAAATCACTTGGCATTTGGTTCTATGGAGTCTCAATAAAGAGATAAAATAATATGTGACTTCAATATACAGGATTCAATAAAGGCAAATTTAAAGACATTGCCCAGTAGTTAAATTTTATTTTCCACAGATTTGTGATCACTGCTATTTTTGTATCATCTCTGGTTTGATTTGCATAATCGTCACTCCATCTTTCAAGTTATTTATGAAAATATTAGGCCACCTTGGATCCTACCAGTACCTCTTCCTAGGTTTATGTGGATTAGTAATAGCTACTTTTCAGATGTGATTGTATTTTAGCCCTTCCTGATGTATATTTCTAAATATAGTTGTCCTGTTACGTTCTTGGTCCAAGCTTCCCTTTCGTGATGGATGGTTGAAATATTATCTTAGCTGTTGACTTCAGGTGATAGATAGTTTGCCTATTGCCTTTCACTCAGTTGTTGAATTTATTTCATCTCAGGGAACCATTAAATCATCTGAACATGATTTATTTTTTTTACCCATCCATGGTATGTATGTAAATGGATACTTCATTTTTCCATCAAGTAACCAATCTCTATTAATTATCCTAAAAGTTGACCAAGCTTAAGGATTGAAGTCGTTTCTTGTCTTTCAATCTGTTGCTGAAGGAAAAGTGTTCTTTACCCACAAACAAAGCAGCCGAATATAACTTTGTAGGAGAGGCTGTTATGTTTGTCAAAGTGTGGATTTGGACCATTGGTGCAGAGGCACCCTGTGTGTTTATTAAACTGTGGATTCCCAGGCCTCGCACCAGACCCCTTGCACTGGAACCACTGGGAGTGGGCCCAGGAACCTGCATATTTGAGAGCTCTCGAGGGAAGACTTATGAATACTGACTTTTGAGAATGACTAGTCTGCTTGAAGATTTCTGGCCGACTGCTCAGCCCCTTTTTTTATTCCCTGGTTTTTGCATCTGGAAGTTCTAGAGTCTCTAGGAATCCTCCAGGCAGAGTGCCACTGGCGTGCGTCATTGTTTTAGTTGGCTTCTTTTGAATCTTTCCGATTCTTTCAGCCTTGATAAAAAACTCAGCAGTCCCATGTAAAACTCAGCAATTCAGCATGGATGCTAGTTTATTCAATAGCTTTAGACCCTAGCAGTGTCATTAACCCACTTTTACGTGTGGTGTGATAACTGGAGATAGACGTGTGGAAGGAGTCCTTGCGTTTAGGTTACTGGGGTGTTCTAAAAATCTTTTCAAGAGTTTACCTCTTTTCTTCCTCACTGCGCCTGACCTTGAATTTTCTGTTAGCATCAGTGGGGCAGACTTCTGACGAGAGACCTGCTTTTCCATTTTCTTTGTTCAAGCAGCATTGGAAGAAAGAAGATGGTAGTGATGGGGTGAGGTTCAGGTAGAGGAAGAATGTTTTGTTTCTGAGCCTTAGCCACTTACAGAGGAGCAAAGCACACATTTACCCTTTTGCCGGGCACAGTGGAAAGGATTTGTGAAGCTCTTTTTCTCTTTAAGGCTTTCTAAAAAAATTAATTTTAATTTTTACGGAGCATTTAAACGTTAAATTTAATTTAAAGAACATTTAACATGAGACGAATCCTCTTATCAGATTTCTAAGTGCACGTACTGTTGAATGCAGGCACCGTGTTGTGCAGCAGGGCTCTGGGGCTCACTCATCGCGCTCGACGCAGACTCTGTGCCTCTTCCACCTTTAAATGCTATGAATTTGTCTTTTTAAGACACCTTGTAACAGTGAGACCAGGCAGTATTTGTTCCTAACTGTGCCTGGTTATTTTACCTAGTCTAGTGTCCTCACGGTTCATCCATGTGGTTGCACAGTGAAGAATTCCCACTGTTTAAAGGATGAGCAGTGCTCCGCTGCATGTGTGTATCTCCTTTTCTTGTTTCATCCGTCTCTCGACGGTCAGCTGTTCCACGTCTGGCTCATGTCAGGAGAGCTGCAGGGCGCAGAGGAGTGCCGTGTCTCTTTGAGATCCCATTCTCAGTTCTTCGGGATAAATACCCAGATGTGGAATTGCTGGATCGTGCGGTTGTTCTGTTTTTAATTTTTCGAGGGACCTGCCTGCTGTTTTCCGAAGAGGCTGCACCGGTTTTGCATTCCCACCAGGAGTGCACAGGATTTCCAGTTTCTCCACCTCCTCTCCCACATATCACGTGTTCCCAGTTTTTTCTGATCACGGCAGTAACTCCTGCTGATGGGCCCTCACAGTGCAGAGCACTGTGCTGAGGATAAGCATTTTACATACATTTTTTCTGTAAATCCTCACACCAGCCTTGAAAGGCAGGGCCAGTTGACTTCAATTTTCTGTGGAAAA